GTTTTGATGGGTGTGATGAGTAAGAGCTCTCTCAACTTTTTATCATTCCCATTGACATAAATACTGAATCCTTGTGGTGTGAAAGCCACAGTTCTATTCCATAAAAAATAAAAAAAAAGAAACACCCAACTTAGGGAGAACTAGAAATAGTTGGCAAAAATTAATGCCTTTTAACTCTCAGCGAAACATATTTTCTATTTTTGAATGTGAAGAAGGTCTCTACCTCAGTGACCTCTCCTATTTATTTGCACTTCTCTTGTAAAATGAATTTGCTTTTTCTTGCATTTTATTTTTTTCATCTGCAAAGTTTTTTAAAAGACCCATTCATATTTCAAGTCTGTCTACTTTTCTTATTTCAAAAACACAGAAATAAAAGAGCTGCTGTTAGGAACCTTTGAAAAGGTCTTTCCTTTCATTTATATTTAGTTGTAAGTAATAATTTTTGTTCTGTGTAAATCACCCGGGGATACTGACGGCGGTGGCAGTGATAGTGGTGGGGCTGAGGGTACTGTTGCTGCTTAGTTTAAGAATGACTGCTGAGATCTGTGTATTTGGTTTTCCATGAGCAAAGTTTGGAAAAATAGACTCATTAGGCATGTTCTGATAAATAAGTTACTCTTTCACACCAGCTTGAGGTCTGTCTGTTTATTAAGGTGTTTCTCAGCCACACTGTTGTACGCAGGGAACTCCCAGTCATTCCTTGCTTTTGCTCATACAATGTACTTCTGTGCCACATCCTATCTGTAACATCTAAATGCCACCCAGAGCCCTCCTTCCAGTCCCTTGCTATCAGCCACTGGGACTGGAAAGTCTGCCTAGAGAGCAGCTGAGACTGAACCACTGTTCTGTTGATCACATTCATACTCACGTTCTAGCAGCCGTTCTCGAGCGTGTGTCTATGTTCCCTTCAGACATGGACAGCCAGGCTCGCCACATGGCGCTCAGCAGCCTCTTCACGGAAGTCCTAATGATGATGAACAACGCAGCTGTTCCAACAGCAGAGTTCCTCCGGGGCAGCATCCGGACCTGGATTGGCCAGAAAGTGCATGGGCTAGTGGTGCTACCCCTTTTAACCGCTGCCTGCCAGAGCCTGGCTTCCGTCCGCCACATGGCGGAGACCGCAGAAGCCTGCATCACTGCCTACTTCAAAGAAAGTAAGAGGACGTCATCTTATGCTCTCATTACATTGATCTTTTGCAGGCAAGATTAAAGCTGCTTTGTCATTAGGAGATCTTTCCAGACTCTTCCCAGTGAGGGATTGTACCATTCTAATTTCTGCTTTGTAAATGGTGTGAGTGCTTCAGAATATATATATCTCTCTTTTTCAGAAAAGATCGCAGTTAGCATGAGAACATATGGCCTGTGTCTGTTGGTACAGTCACATGTTTCAAGGCAGAAAAGCTCTAACTCATTTTACATTGGTTTTAGAGTATCAGACCAACCCGTTATAATAGGCAGATCATGCTATGTCACAGGCCAAGTCATAGTCCTCGAAGAAAAGGCTGTCAACCAGAATCTATATGATAATGTGCCACTAGGTTAATTTTCCCTAATATCCAGATACACATCTCAATTCACAGTGGCAGAGAAAGAAGGGTATTGGAGCCAGGATCGAGGAAGTGCCCATAACCTGCCATCCGTCCTGTCCTGACAACCCATGAACAATCCATGTCCACCCGTGAGGTAGAGCTGTGCACGTCACCATGCCACCACACCCTCACTCCACCTAAAGAGTGGAGAATCATTAGGATAGCACTCCTCTTCCAAATTCATTTATGTTATTAAAAATCAAATGGTTTCTGTCAAGATACGAGTCAACCTAAACTTTGATAAGTAAAAATACTTACGATAGACTGAGTGATAACATTTTCCCTTGGAAAAGCTTAAGCGTTCATACATACTTAAAAATGGTATTAAAATTAGAACTCTCAGATGACTGAGACAGGCAGTATCTACATGAGATTTTAATAATATAATAAGAAAGGTGATTTATAAACATGCCATGCAGAACTCTGATTTCTTAACCTCCGCTAGTGGCTAGCTTGGGGACAGGTATCTAGCACGAGGGCTTTCCAGTATAAGCCCTGGGGTCATTTCACTTGTGTGGCCTCCAGGGCCAACGTGAGAAATGTCTTGACCTAAAGCTTAAAAGTAAAAAGACTCATTAGACTTGTTAAGTAGTTTGATTCCTGTTTATATCTTGATGTCTTCTCTTGGCGTTCTGTTCTCAGGCTCCCTCAATCAAAATTTAGGATGGGGCCCCATTCTGGTGTCCCTTCAAGTTCCTGAGCTCACCATGGAAGAATTTCTGCAGGAGTGCCTAGCTCTCGGCAGTTACTTGACGCTTTATGTCTACCTGCTTCAGTGTTTAAATAGCGAACA